TTTTAGTTTAAGAGATATGAATTTTTGAAAATCGTCAAAAAAAAGTTTAAAGCACCCCCTTGGCAATTTTTTTCTTAAGATGAAAAATTTTTTGTCTCTCAGATTTCCCAAACCCTATCCTTTCTTTATAGAAAAGCCCGTAGATTAAGATGCTGCGACGATTTTAAATTATTCTTTTATTTTCCGAGATATTCGCGATTGAAGAAAATACCAAAAATTGCAAAATGTCATTTTTTAGCACTTTTTTTTGGCTTTTTTTGTTTTTACTGTTGGAAATATATTTTTTTTATTTTATTTTTATCTGATGAAAATTTTTCCAAACCTTTCGAATCAGCGATTCGTTGGTTGCTATCTTTTTTTAGTTTAAAAGATAGGGTTTTGAAAATCGTCGAAAAAAGAAATTCAAGCCCCCCCTTGGAAATTTTTTTCTTAAGATGAAAAAATTTTTGTCTCTCAGATTTCCTTTTTAACTATCCTATTTTTATAGAAAATTGTCCGTAGATTAAGATGCTGCGATCAGATCTTTTATCTTTTTGTGATCTTTTGTTTTGTGTTTTTTAAATTGGTATACTCGTAAATAAACGGCGTTGATACCGTTGAAGAATTTTAAAGGACCCACTTGTGCCAAGGAGTCTACCGCTGCCGTCGCAGAAATGTTAGAGATGCGCATATTAAAAGGGAATTTTTTACTTTCGGGGAGTTTTAAAGAGCCTCTATGATTTTCGTTTTTTTAATAAATGTATGTGGTTTTAAATGTTGCAAAAAACATAATGTAAATTATAAATTTTCTTTTATTTTTTCTTTTTTCCCCTTTTGCCGTTTGGGATTAGTCTTAAATCATATTCCATAAAAATTTTTCCGTTGAGCGTGTAAAAAATATATAGCTGTTTTTAAATTTTGTTTTTTTTTTTTAAAAAAGTTGAATAAAGTAGAATCATAAATAAAAAGAAATCAAAAAAAAATGAAAAAAAAATCACTGGTGGTCAGTGGATACGCCCATGCTAGTAGACACGGATCGAATCTCAGGTGTAAGGCTTTTTTTTCTAAAAATACAAAAAATAACAGGTGAAATTTTGGGGTTTATATATGAATTGAACGAAATATAAAAAAAATTCAACCAAGTGAAGGCAAAAGAAGTAAAAAAAGAGTAAGTCGGGGAACAGAAAAATTTGGGAGAAGTAAAAAAAGGAAAAAGAGTAGAGGACAGAAGGAAGAGAACAGAGTAGGGGAAGAGGGAGATAGAAGAAAGAGCCACAGGAGTGGATCAGTTTTTTAAAATTTTTTCCGTGTCTTTTATAAGAAAAGTCAAGGTCGATTTTCTTCGATGCTCCTTTTTCCCCCGGGCCCCATCCTACGGGCTCCGATGTCTTTTGCGTTTCCCATCCCCAAAATTTTTCCCCAGGCATATCAAAAATTTTTTATGGGGGGGGATCACCCCAGGGGGGATCTCCTTAAAAGGGAAATAATCCTTATAATCTTGTTCAAATTTTTTTAATTTTTAAAATTCTTCTCAAGAGGGCGACACTTAAAAATTTTTAAACAAGTTTTTGACCTGTTGCTGAAAGGGAAAGAAGGAGTACACGAATCTACAGGTTCCCTTTAAAATTTTTATAGAGGGATCCCCCCCGAAAATGGAACTTTTCTTGGGGGACCTGTTCCTGAAATGATAAAAGGCGAACACAAAAAATTAAAAAGTCAAAAATTTTCTTACTATTTATTTATTAACAATAGAATACAAGTTTAGATTTTCAGTCAACAGAATACATGCCCCAATATTAAAACCCGGACTTACGACCTCTCCCGCCTTTAAAGAAAGTACCCTTTTTTTCACCATCGGAATAAGGAAATTAAAAATAGTTCTTTTTTCAACGTTAGTGAAAATAAAAAACCAAATATACGGGGTTTTTAAAAATTTAAAAAATTTAATGAGAAAACAAAAAAACATTTTAACACTACAAATATCTTTCGTTTTTCACACGAGGCCCCGGGAAACTAATATACGGGTTTGTCCAAAAAAAATTAAAAAGGGCAATAAAAAAACCATAAAAAAATTTAAAAGGAAATTTTCACGGACACAATGAAAAAAATAAAACGGGGTTGTTTCAAAAAGAAAACCTTAGTTGAAAAAAAAGAAACCCAAAAGTCACAAATACGGGGGTTTTTTTACGTAATGTTAGGAAAAAAAATAATATACTTGGTTTAAAAAAAAAATTTTAAAAAACTAAAAGGGGGTTAATATTTTACAACGTGAAGAGGGGGAATTTTCAAATAAAAAAACTATATTTTAATATAAAATCCCAAAATTTTACCCGAAAATCACTGGGAAATTGGAGAAAAAAAAAAAAAACACCTAACATTTTTAAATATTGTGAATGTATATTTATTAATTGATGCATCAACTGCATAAAGTAAAAAGACGGTGAAACATCATCATAAATTGATAGAAAATCCTGCGGAAAATATTCAAATCAATTTACGGCAAGCGACGGCGCTTTGCTTTCCCGTTTTGTTTTATAAATATTAAAAATGTAAGGAGACTACGAAAACGAAAAAAATATTCAACGTACAAGATTTTTTCAAAAAGGGCAACAAAAACTCTTAATTTAATGATGCTAAGGAGTGCAAATTGAATAAAAAAAATTCACGTGTTCAGCGGGAAAAAATGGCAGAGCCGACGGCAAAAATTAATGGCGGTGACAAAATTTTAAAATCTTCCGGGTACTTTTTTTAAAAAAGTGTTTGTGGGTTTTAAAACAGTCATGTTTTTCGGAAACAGGCGGTAAAACTACCCTTACCATGTGTTTTTTAATTTGCAAGATGATACATACATATTTTTCCCTCCGAGGAAAAACTTTAAATTAAACCCCAAAAAAAAAAATTTTTCTACAACTACCTATGCATTAGTGCGGGTGATTTTTTCCCGGAAATTTCCATCAAAAAAACACACCCCACAGGGTTAAAAAAGGAAATTATTTTTATTTAAAGGGGAAAAAAACGCACAAATTTTAACAACCTGCCCGCGAAATATTTTGCTGATGGTCGAAAAGTACACGATGATTAATCCAAAATTAAAAACCCCAAAACGCGGGGAAAATTAAAAAGGGGGCACGTTCAGGACCCGCGGTGAAACGACTGCCGGGTGGTTTTCCCCAGCCGGGGACAAGCCCCGGTAAGTAGCGAAAAATACGCGCCCGTCGAACCAAAAGGGTTTTTACACAAACGTTTTATAAAATTTGTTTGGGCCTTAAAATTTTCAAAAGTTAAATAACGACATACACAAATTCTTTTCCAATATTTTCTCGGGATATAAAAGAACTTTTGGGTTTGGGATGTCCCAAAAAATTTAAAAAAAACCGGGGAAATTTTAAATTTTTATTACAGATAAATTTAAATTTTTGTCTTCGTAGTTTTGATATTTTTGCTGCGTTTTTTTTTTAGTATTGTTGGAAACAAATATAAATTTTACGGGTTCTGGGAAAGGGGGTTTTTGCATGGAAAAAGCAAAAAAGGGAAAAATTTGGGGGCCATTTTTGGGGGGAGTTATGACCGGGTTTTTGGGGTTCCCGGGGGGGTTAAAACTTGGATTTACCTTTTCTATCATAAAATAAAGGAACACGAAAATATCACGAAGGGTTCCCGAGATATGGCCTTTTTCCACCCGGGTTTTTAAAATGCAAAAAAAAGGACAAACTTTTGGCGGCCATTTTAAAGGGGTTTCGACCGAATTTTTTGGGGGGCATCTTTTTAAAAATGCACTTTTTTCCAAAAAAAAAAAGGAAAACGAAAATATCACGAAGGGTTCCCCTTAGGCCTGTTTTCCACCCGTGTTTTTTTTTTAAAAAAGCAAGAGAAAGGGGAAACTTTGGCAAACCATTTTGGGGGGAAAAAGGGGCCAATTTCACGGGTTAAAAAAAATCTTAAAGATGCATTTTTTTCCCTGAAATATAGCGAACAGAAAAAAAATATCACGAAAAGGGGTTTCCCCAGATATGGGCCTTTGGTTTTTCCCCAGCGTGTTTTTTTAAAAACAAAAGAAAAGGGCAAAAATTTGGCGGCCATTTTGGGGGCAGTTATGACCGAATTTCGTTTTCCGGGGGGCATCTTTTAAAAATGCACTCTTTTTCTACCATAAAAAAATAAAAGGGAAAACGAAAAAATATCACGAAGGGTTCCCGGGGATAGGCCCTTTTTCCACCCGGGGTTTTGAAAAAAGCAAAAAAAGGGGGAAAATTTGGCGGCCATTTTAGGGGTTTTGGGGCCCCCAAATTTCCGGGGGGGGCCGGGTGCATCTTAAAGATGCACCTTTTTCTAAACATAAAATATAGCGAAACACGAAAATATCACGAAGCGTTTTCCCCCGCTATCGTTTGTTTTCCACCGCAAGTTTTTTAAAAAAGCGAGAAATAGGGAAAAATTTGTCATTTCCGTCGTTTCTATATTTACCTAAAAAAAAATAGACAAATCCCCTTAATTCGCGGGCTATTGCAAAAAAGCAGGTGAAAGGTAATAAACTGGAAAAAACCTTACCATTGCAGTGCCCCAAAAGGTTGCTGGTCACGGCAAGTACTGTAATTAAATGAAAAAAATAAGTTAAAATAAAATTATGGCACACAATATAATATTATTTGAAGCCACCGGTCGGCCCCCTCTAGGGCGGGGGGCACGAGCACCCCCGACTTGACCCCTTTGGGGATGAACTAGGCCCCGGGTTGGATCTCGGGGGATTCCTGATGACTTGGCAGCTCTCAGCGGCATTGTGCTTCCGCCGGGCCCCTGACGCTAACCTCATCAATTTGGCGCGTCGGTAGGACCCCAAGATCTTGGAAAAAATTTCCCAAGATTCAGGAACCCCGTGCCCCAAGAGGGCCCACCCCCCGATCTCGAAATCCTGGGACACAAGCCCGTCATTAAGCCGAGTTGTGGCTGAATCTTTTGAAATGTTGTCCAGCCAAACAGATAAGAAGGTGGTTGCTAGGACCTTTCGGCGCCGCGCGGTACGAATGCGTAGCTCACGAAGGGGGCCCTCACTGGGCGGAGGTCCGACGCCAGCTAATCGCGCGGTTTGGGCCGTCCAGTGCCCGTCCGTTGGTGACCAACGCCGCGTCCTAAAGCCGCGGACGCAGTCGTGCCCCACAACAAGAGGGCTTTGGGGGCCCGTCGCCGTCGTCGTCCCGCTCACCCCTGTCCCCCAAAAATCACTGGACCCACCACCGGTCGGACCCCCCAGCGGCATGGGTCCCCCGCCCAGTAGGGGCCCCAAAGCCGCCGGCGCCCCTTTTCCAAAAGAAAATGCGCGGGGGCCCGATGCCACCACCTCTACCCCCAAACCCGTATCCGCCCCGCTGGCCCCCGCCCGGGAGATGATGGAAAAACCCCCCCTGTCGATGCGATTCCCCCGCCACCCATATGAGGGCCCCCTGGCCACCCTCGCCAGTTCAGGTTCTCGAGGGGCCCCTGGCCACTCCCCCAGCTCACGGTCCATCGACGGCCCCTGGCCACTCCCCAGCTCACGGTCCATCGGGGGCCCCCGGGCCCCCCTCGCCAGCTCACGGTCAGGGGGCCCTGGCCACTCCCCCAGCTCAGGCCCACCGACGGACCCCTGGCCGTACAAAACCCCACGACGTCGCGCGCCGCATCCCCGATGGGCTCACCATATCCGCCCGAGCCGGGTACCCCCCGTCGCCCCAGGCCCTTCCGGCACCCCCAGTCAGATGCCGAAGCCGACCGCGCCAGGGCATCGCGGGCCCCCCAAAAAGGTCCCCGTCTCCACCCCTCAAAGGGCACCACGGCCCCGATGGCACGCCGATTAAAGGGGCTCGGGGTCGACCCTCCCCGGGGGTTCTGCGGCGTCCCTCGAGGATCCGTGCACGACGCCCCAAATCCCCAAGAACGAATGGGGGCCTCAACCCCCCAACGCCTCAGGTACCGTTCTTCTCCGGTGGGGCGAACTCGATGCACGGTACACGGATCTCGTCCCAGCTGGCCACGCACCCCTGCAAGTCCCGTTTTAAAACCCTCGGCCGCATCAGGAAACCTACCGTTCGAAAAAAACGGATAGTCTCCGGAAGTTCATAAATGGACGACAACACGGTTCGCCAAAAAACTGACAACCGCTCGCCTTTATGGAGGTGCGCCGCACGCCGATCCCGGGCCCACGGCCTGAAGAACCCGCTGACCTCTTCCGGCTGTACATGTTTTGAAACGCGTTTCCTGGCACCATCCCACGCGCCATAAGTTCTCGGCTCGGGGGTGGCCCCTACTAGTTCTACGGTCCCGGACCCATGCAATATCAGTTGGGAGGTTCTGCGAAAGGACCCCGCTTCGAGAGGGGGAAGCACCTTTTGGGTCCGGCGCCCCTAGCGGCGTTTGGGGGTACGGCACCGCCGACGACGCGCTAAGGATTTAACTAAGATCCTGGGGGGCTGGATTTGGACTTCCTGATGAAAGTGGCGCTCTCCCGCGGCATTCGTGCTCCCACCTGGCCCTGACAGCTAACCTACGTATCAATATTTCTCAGCGGAGAACACCAACGTTCTATGCTGGTATCCAAAAACCCAAAAAAACATAAACACGAAGGGGCCTCCAAAGACGGGGGAAAATCCCGGGAGCAATTATCTGATTAAACTATAAAACGAGATCGTCGCACAATAACCGAAACTTGGGGTTAAACGCACCATTAATTATTAACAAAAAATTGCGGAAGCGCGTTTAATGATCAATAAAATCAAATTTAAAAAAATAAGTCCGATAAAACGATACGCGTCCCCGAAATACGTCTGGGTACGCCCCCGGGGGGGGGACGAAAACTGCAAAAACCCACGCGCAAGTAAACCAAGCGCGGGGAAAAAAGGGCTGGCGCGAACCCGCGGTAAAACTACGGAAAAAAGGGGCGCGTAAGCCAGGCGCAATGCGA